ACCAATACCATTAAAAAATAATTGGATAGATTTAAGAAGTTCTAAATCTTTAGAATGAAGATTAATCGCAAATGTTGCTCGAACTTGCCAGTCTAATTTACTTGAATTCTTTTTACCTATTTTAATCAAAAACTCCCTTATCTGTAAATCCTGTAATGAAATTGGGATTCAAATTTTGTTTAGAATGTTTATCTGAAAGAGCCGTTAACGGTATTTTAGAATCACAAGCATTTAATTCTTGATATAAAAGAATTCCTGCATGAAATTTAATAGGTGAGTTGGGTGGTTTACTATCCGTACATCCAGAATAGGTTGTAACGATGTTTATATTCAGCAGTAGTCTCAAGCAAGACTTGAACATTCTATCTACAAACTCACTTTAAATACGCAAAACGGCGCACAGTCTAATAATATATATTTGTAAACACCAAGAAGAAAGGAAACAATGATAAGAGATAACATTACAAAGAATTGCCGACGAGAAACATAAAAGCTGGCTGGGGTGTAATTTAGTATTAAATGACAAAGTAAAGGAAATATAAATAGATTAAGGTAATATAAATAGATTAATCTCCTAGTTTATACTTCATTGATTCATAAAAATATGGGATTACTAATTCTTTAAATCTTAGCATAGAATCAGATTTAATATAAATACGATAATTTCTTCTATTACCATCTACACGAATACTTGAATTTAAATTAAACTTATCTTTAAGTACTTTTACTAATAATTGAACATCTTCTAATGTATAGCTATCTGTACAAAAAATAAATCCTGGCCCCATTTTACTTCCATCATCCATTGCCCAATATGCTAAACCTATAGGAGTTAATAATTCACCTATATTAAAAGGAATTCTTTTAACTTTATCTACATAGAATAAATCATAATAATAATTAAAACAAGATAAAGAGTAAGTACTAAAATATACAGAAGTATATACTTTATTAGTTCTTTTATCAAAAGAATGAAGGTCTTTAGGCCTGTACCACAATAATCTTTAAATAAATCATATAAATGTAAAATATATGCTTTATTAATTGAACCTTGTTTAAATCTTAATCTTGCATTCCTACCCCTCTCTGCTAATATGTAAATCACCTAGACTTGAACCAATTATAATATTATCTAATTCAGGAGTAATAGAAAAAGAATCTTTTTGAACTTTGGTTAATCTTTTAGTACTAAAATATCTATTACCAAAATAGGTAGTAGATAAACTTAATAAACAATCTACTGAACCAAAATCAATAGTAGAGAAAATTAATAAAGAAACTAATAACTTAACTCGGTCTGATTTTCTATGTGGAGTGGGGGTGTTAGACTTTTTGTCTAACGTGATTATTATAGGTCCTAGCATAGCTAATAACAATATGAACGAACATAAGATTAAGTATAACGAATATGAAGAATACATGATATTTCCTATAGATTGGATTTGTTCGTAATTAACGAAAATATTGTTATAAACAGTATTAAATCCAATGTAGATGAAATTCTCTGAAGTATTAATACCTAAAAACCAATTATTAAATTTATCAAAGATAGCTGAAATAAGATAAACATTATCTAATTTAGATATAGTAGCATTTGATAATATTAAATAACTTAAGGTAGATGCAATAATTACTGCCAATGGTACATTTTTTCTATACTCCGACCCTATTTGTGTTAGTTCTACTAATCGTACGTTTAGCATCATAATTACAAATAGGAATAGTATAGCTATTGCACCGATATAGACCATAATATATGCTAGTGCTATAAAGTTAATACCTAATAAAATTAAGTAACCAGCAGTATTTATAAATACTGCTATTAAAAATAAAACTGCTACAATGGGTGAACGAGCTGTAATTACAGGGGGGTGTTTAGAAAACCCTTAAACTAAACCTGACCCTACCGTTTATTGAATCTGCGAAGTTTATATAAAACTGTTTATAAACAATAAAGGTATATTAAAATTAAAACACTTGAAGATAAGCAAATATAGTAAAATACAATTGAAAATAATAGAAGGGTTAATGTTACAATTGTAACATACTTTGAAGATAATTGTTATTTAGAAATTAGCTCACAAGATAAGAACCATTGTTCTTTATATATACTTCCAATTCTTGCATATTTCAGAATTGTTTGATAATGACCTTTTAAGACTTTTGCTGCTTTATTAGCAGAAGTAAAAGTATAGAGAAGTGTGGATTTATCAGAAGAATAAACATAAATAGTTGTACCTTGAGCAGCACTCATCTTAGCTTTTGTCTCAGCTGAATGCTTTTTACCAAACATTGGGTTTTTCTCAGCTAAAGAGGCTTCTCTCATTAAGGCTTTAGTATCAGTAGAATGACGATTCCCAAACATTGGATTATTATCACCTGATAGGGCTTCACTTATTTTTAATTTAGTCTCAGTCGAGACTATTTTACCTAAATGAACTTCACTGATTAAAGCTTTACTTTCCTCAGTATGAGTTTTACCAAACATTGGGTTATTATCCTCAGACATAGCTTCACTAATCAAAAATTTAGTTTCTGCTGAAAGAGATTTCCCAAAATTATAATGATTCTCACCAGATAATGTTAAACTAATTAAAGATTTAGTTTCTTCAGTGTGCTGTGAACCTAACCGCGATCCTGCAATAGGAAGTATATTGTACATAGAATTGTTCAATGAAAGAGTGTCAATATAAAATTGTTCTCGTGAAAGAATCAGTTCTTTCGCTTGTTCTTTCGATAAATTGGAAATATCTATGTATTCAAGTATAGTTAAAGAAAATGCTGAATGCCCATAAACTAGTAATGATCTATTAATATACATGCTTTTATTTTTAATTAAATAACTTTTAAAGAAATAAGATCTTAATCGTTTAAATAAATCAAAAGTAGAACCGATATAAATTTTACCAGATTCCTTATGCTTCCATTGGTATATACCAGTTTTACCTTTATTGTCAGATAAAATTAGTAATTTATCAATATCAGCATTATCATATACTATAGCCGGAACAAAAGATCCATTATTATTATTTATTTTCATTTTTATTTTATTTTTTAAAGTATTAGTAAATTGATTAAATCAATAACTAAAGTATAAATCCTAGCCTGCATAGTAATTCTTTGCCTTTGCTCCCAGTTTAGCAGCAAGCAATTAAGATATAATATTTCCAAAATAATTTGGAGCTCTCCCACTTAGAGATTTTATGGAATATTGTGCACAGAATAATTACATTAGGTCTTATACATTGATTTCGGTATGATTTTTCATATTAATGATAGTCTATATTAATAAATTTACTTTGGTATTGTACAAAATTTAAAATTTATAATTACAATAATGATCCATTTTAAGTAAATAGCTTATTAATACCCGGTCAAATGTTTTTGATAAGATTTATTTTATAAATATATTCATAAATATATACATTAAATGTATATAGAGAAATGCAGAGACTTGAACTCTGATTTGATAAAAACAAATTTATCTATTTTACCAATTAAATTACATTCCATTGATGTAATAGGTCCACTGGGGTTTATAGTAAACAGTTAACTAATAGACTTGAACAAATATAGTTTTAATTGCTTAATTTAAAAAAGATTAGAAAGTTGAATATATAATTAATGATTACATATATATAAAATAAAAAATAATAAATATAATTTTTGATAATATATTTTTATTTATTAGCTAGTACCAAAATATTTCTCAAGGAAATATAGCTGATAATACAGAAATGAATCTTAATAAATCTAATAATCCTGGAGGAAAAATTTGTTTATATTCACAGTACAAAAAGAAATAACCTTAAGATTGAAGGGGGTGTTAGATCTTCGATCTAACGTGATTATTATTGGTCCTAACATGGCTAATAATAATATGAACGAACATAAGATTAAGTATAACGAATAATAAGAGTACATAATATTTCCTACTGCTTGAATCTGTTCGTAATTAACAAATATATTGCTAAATGTATTATTAAATCCCATATAAACAAAATTATATGAAGAATCAAGACCTAAGAACCAATAATTTAATTTATCAAAAGTAGTTGTAATAAAATGAACATTATCAAATTTAGATGAAGTAACATTTGACAATATTAAATAACTTAAAGTAAAGGCAATTAATACAGCTAAAGGAGTATTTTTGCTGTATTGGGATCCAACTTGTGTAAGTTCAACAAGACGTAAATTAAGCATCATAATTACGAATAAAAATAATATAGCTATAGCACCAATGTAAACCATTATGTAAGATAAAGCAATAAAATTAATACCTAATAAAATTAAGTAACCACTAACATTAATAAATACTGCAATTAAGAACAATATTGAAACAATTGGACTTTTAGCAGTAATTACTAGAATAGCAGATAGAATAGAAGTGAATGTTAATAAATTTAGTAAATTCATTTTTATTTTATTTAGAAGGGTTTTGGTAAATTGATTATTAAATCAATAACCAAAATATATAAATCCTAGCCTTATATAATTATTCTTTGTCTTTTTGCTTCCAGTATATTGGCTTCGCTAATAAAAAGATAAAGATTTCATTAAGCCCCTTTTTATATTATTGTATAAGAAATATAACTTGTTATTTATCCATAAAAACTTTAACTAGTTCTCTGCTAAATTGGTTATTTTTCTTTACAAAAAAGTTAGTCAATTGACAAATTTTATATATAAAACATATTATTTGATTAAGGCAAAAATACCCTAGTTGGAGTATACCATCAAACAAACAAAGTAGCCAGAGGTTTTGTGAAAAAAAATAATCCATAAGTATTATTATTTTATTATATAAGGTCTTATAGATTTTTATCGGTAGAACTATTCTTAAGAATAATCTATATTAATAAATTTACTTTGGTATTGTCATAAACTTTAAGGTTTATTATTGCAATAAAAGATCCATTTTTAGTAAATTGCTTATTAATACCCGGATAAATCTTTTTATTATAAGATTTATTTTATAAATATATGAATATATTTAATGAGAACGCAGAGACTCGAACTCTGATAAGATAAGTTAAAAGCTTAGTACTTTACCAATTAAGTTACATTCCCCATAATTTATGAATATAAAATTAACAATTAAATTTGCTGGACGGTCCTACTATTGATTTATTATAAATTTTATAACCTCTTATCTTTATAATAACTTGCAGATATGTTATTTGCCTCCTTTATATCAGTCGACAAACTCGTAATCAGTTCACTATTTTTCACCCCCTCCGCAAGCTTCGCGGAGGGGAGGATAAAGAAAAAGATAAATAGTATTTGTCTTTAAACAATAAACCATTTTTAGCATATTTATTGTATGATGACTAGTATTCAAGTATTCAGCCGCTTTTCTAGCAGAACAAAAACTATTAACAAGTGAGCCATGTAAATCATATAGATTAATAGTAGTTCCATTAGCAACACCAATTTTTGCTTTATGTTCTTCAGATTTCTCTATCCCTTTTATTGCTTCACTAATTAAAGCTTTAGTTTCCTGAGTATGAGAATAAGTTCTTCCATGCATTCCATTTTTTTCACCAGTTTTAGCCTCAATCATCAAAGCAAGAGTCTTAGTAGAATGTCTTTTGCCAAAGAACGGATTATTTTCGCCTTTATTAACAAAACTAAGTAAGGCTTTAGTTTTATCAGTTCGTTTACAACCTAACGGAGATCCTGCAAATTTAAGTATATTCCAATAATATTATATTATTGCATATATATTATATTATATATTATATTATATATTATATATATGGATTCAGGCGTAAGAGAATCCTCTTCATTTTTTGTCTTGCGGGGGGGGGCGAAAAAAATATTTATACATTCGTTTTGATAAATCAAAAGCCGAGCCTACATATGTTCTGCCAGATTATCTGTGAGTCCATAAATATATAGCAGCTTTTCCTTTATTATTTCAATACCTTGGTCTATTGGAATCTGCATTAGAATAAAAATTAACTGGAAGATAGGGTAACTTATTAATAAAATAAAATGGTAATAGTTGTGGCATTTTTTTTTTATAAATAAAATTCTTAAAATTTAATCCTTCCATTGTGCCTCTTTTCTCACAGCACATTTATGCAGTAAGGAGATAAGAAATAAGAAAGACAATTATGTCAGAGAGAGGAATTAAACCTTTCACTTTTGAAACAACTACATGCTATAAACTATATTTATATATCAATACTGTTATATATATTCTTCACATTAATGGCCACTTTTAATAAGAATTGGATTAATATAAAAATCAAATTAAGTTACATTTCAAAATTTATTTAAATTACAAATTTGCCTAATCTATTCATATTATAAAACACCAAGGAAGAATCGAACTTCCATCTTAAAAATATCTAGCAGATCCACTGTTTTACCGAATAAACTATTGATTTTTATCCTTAATACTACTAAATATTTTATCCTTAATACTACTTAAATTTTTGAACTTAAAATTTATTTCTTTTATATAACTCCAGTATTACATGGCAACAGCTTGTGCTCTTCTTATAGAGATATACATTATTCTTATAATAGAGGTGAAAAAGTTTTAGTAAGATATGGTTAATATTTACAACCTAAAATCCTAAAACTATAAAGATCATTTGGATTTATATCTTTAGAAGATTCCAACAAATTAACTTGTTCTGCTAAATTTATATCTTGGATCATTGCACTAAGATGTTCTAATCCATTACAAGTAGCATCAAAAACTGGTAAACAAGATAAATAATTATTATCTTCGTTATAATTTTTTAATTCAATACTAGTAGCTAAAGCAATAAAGGGTTCTTTGGCTTCTAACCAAAAATCGATTGGCGAGGCCTTCGACGCAAGTCAGGAATGAAAAAAATTAAGAAATATCTAATAATAGGCATCTTAAGTAAAAAAATAAAGAAAATCCTAATTATAGTTATCTAAAATATAAAAGAAAATATTAAAGATAAAAATCTAAGGGACGGATTGTCATTCGGGTCTGTATAACTCATAAGGTAATTCTACTATAACTAATATGGTATAATCTCCTCCTTTGTATTACTATCTTGGAAAAATATAGATTCTATAGTAGTCGATAATAAAGATCAATAAGCTGTACAATTAGTTAAGATCTGAACCTGCTGTTATAGCTTAATGATAAAGCGAGTTACTGTTAATAACTTCATAGAGGTTTGATTCCTCTTAACGGCTGAACAAGGGATTTATCTCATTATTTTTTATTAACTCTCTGTTAAAAAATAATGGGGTAGGGCAAATAAGTTGTATTTATATAACTATAATAATAACATGCTTGACTTTTTTTAACTCTTCAAGAAGTGTAATTGCTCAAGTCTTATCTAATTATTATAACCATAAAGTGTGTCAAATAAATAAGTATACTATTAAAAAAGAATTTTTATAATTAAAATCAATAATAGGTGATGTCATAATCACATTGGGAACAAAAGAATTATAAAAAAAACTATGAATTTATCAATTACTTTATTCTTAATTGGATTAACGGGGTTTATTTTAAACCGTAAAAACATTATTTTATTAATAATTTCTATTGAATTAATGTTATTAGCAGTAACCTTCATGCTTCTAATTTCATCTTTTGCATTTGATGATGCTATCGGGCAAGTTTATGCTGTATACATTATAGCAATTGCAGGTGCAGAATCGGCGATAGGTTTAGGTATTGTTATAGCTTTCTACAGATTAAGAGGTTCTATCTTAATTAAATAATTCTACCCTATTAATATTATTATACAATGAAATCACCAATCAACACTATCTTAAACCCTAACTGGGTTACTGGATTCTCTGATGGAGAATCATCATTCATGATTACTGTTTCTAAAAGTAATACTTATAAAATTGGGTATAAAGTTAAGGCAGTATTTGGAATTACCCTTCATTCAAATGATGTAGGGATATTAAAAGATATCCAAACTTCAGAGAAGTCCTCTGAATGTCTTGGTTAGATAGTAGCTCACTGAATGGTGCTGAGAAAAAAACCAACCCTTTTTCTTCACTAGTCCAAAAAATCCTCTGGTAACAGGGCTCCCTTTATTGACCTTGCATACGGTTAAGAACCGTAATCAAGAGAAGATAACCCTAGCTTATTTGAAGGTTCTTCCCTTCTCGGTGAAGTATTCAGATAAGAAACTAATAATAATTTTCTAACCTATGTCAACTTTTATATAAGTGCCATTAACCTTGTAATTATTATTTTTTATTTTCATTTAGTCTGTTAGTAACACTGGGTTTCTAGGGAGTGTGTCGTGAGCTCGAATAGTCCGCAAGGATGTAGCTTAGCTCTGTTATAGCAAGGCACAAGGTGGTTGTGGATAGTCAAATAGCGACAAGTATGTTTCAACACAGCATAAGCTGGCGAAGATTTCGATAGCGCGGTGATAGGAGGCTCCACAGAAAAGATGATTAGATAGGCGATCAAAGCGTCACGTCTTGAGGCAGAAAACCGGCTCCGCTTTCCCCCTCGATAAACGACTACTACAGATAATATTAAACCTTATAATTTTAAATAAACAAATGAATAACAACAATTTTTTTATATCGATTATTTCTTATTACAATGCAGATACAGATAAATCACGAATTCTATCTGATAACAAAGGAAAAGCAGGAATCTACATGTGGTTTCATAAGGAGTCTAATAAGATATATATTGGTTCTGCTTATGATTTATCTAAACGATTAAAAAGATATTTTACTCTTACGGGGTTAAAACAAGCAGATAATTATATATCTAGAGCACTAATTCTTCACACTCATTCAGCATTTACTTTAGAAATTCTTGAATATATTGATATCTCGGATTTATCTAAAGTAGAAGCACGTAAACTGATTTTGGAACGAGAGCAGTATTACCTAGATTTGATCTTTGAGGATGATTCACCTAATACTTATAATCTAAATCCTACTGCTGGATCTAGATTAGGTGCAAACCATTCTGAGGAAACGAAGGCTTCAATTAGTGAAGCAATGACAGGTATATCTCGTTCAGCAGAGACGAAAGCTTTAATTAGTGAAGCTATGACAGGTAGAACTCATTCTCCTTCTACTAAAGCTTTAATGAGTGAAATTCAGAAAAGTATCTCTAGAACGGGTGAAGATAATCCAATGTTTAGAAAATCTCATTCTGTTCAAACTTTAGATAAAATGAGTGCTACTCTAGGTACAGCTATTTTTGTGTATGATTCTCAAGGTTCACTTGTTAATAGTTTCCCTTCAGCTAGAAAAGCGGCTGAATCTTTAAATTCTAATCATATAACTATAATGAAATATACTCGCAATGGAAAATTATTTCAAAAAAAATACCATTTATCTTCTTCTGAAAATTTTTCTTTAGAAAGTTAGTTGTAGCAAAGACTCTTTAGGTAGCCATAAGTGTCTTAAAAATTAAGTAATAACACAAATAGCTTAGTGTTATTTTACCATTATAAAATAATGATTCTTAATCAAATAGTTTGAGGTTAACTTTCTTTAAGGGAGTAGGAAATATCTATTTAGCTTCAAATAAAAATGTAGCTCAATATCTGGTTCAAGATATAGAGTCTATTAAAGATGTCATTATTCCTCATTTTTCTAAGTATGGTTTAGAGAGTAATAAAAATATTGATTTTTTATTATTCAGACAGTGTGTTTCATTAATTGTTAATAAGGAGCATTTAAATAATTCAGGATTTGAGCAAATTTTAGCAATAAAAGCAGCCCTTAATTTAGGATTATCTGATTCTCTTAAACTCGCTTTTCCTAATGTTCAAGCTATAAAAAGACCTGAGTTTATACTCAAAGAGAATAAATTAGATCCATTTTGGATTAGTGGATTCAGTGCAGCTGAATCATGTTTCAGTTTTTCAATGACTAATAAGATTATAGGAGCTTCTTATTCAATTCATCTTCATTCTAGAGATGAAGCTCTATTATTGAGAATAAAACAATTTTTCGATAATAAAGGGAATGTTTATCTTCATGAGAAAACAAACAGTGCTTCTTATCGGATGAAGAACATCTCTGATATTAATATCTTAATTATTCCTCATTTCAATAAGTTTCTTCTATCTGGA